CATGGCTTTGGCGACGTATACATCAGTGGTCAATGCTGTCGTCGAATATAAAATTTTCAGAAATTTCACCCCACGTAATAGGCGCAGCTCGTACTTGGAGCAGGATTTTTGTCGAAGAAAAGTGCGGCTCTATTATGCAAGTAAATACAGTAACCCCCTCCCCCCTCCCCTCGCAGCGGTCTTCCGAATTTTCATGCTCCTATAACAAAGTGCTTCATTAGGCTGGTTGGTGCTGCATGGTACTGCATGCTCCTAAGTTGGCAGGTATGCGAATATATTGTTACAACAGACACAAGGCCACATCCAGTGCCACTAGCTGTACCTATAGCTTCATCATCACTAGAGACCGGATTTTAGGCAAATGCCTGTTTTGTTCATTGTGCTCTCATCGTGCCATTTTGATATATGAGCAAGAATTAGAAGTCAAGAAGGGCTTATATAGTGTCTTTATAGTGCCTATAAATTCCTTTTTAGGGAATTTTCACCTTAATTTTTATAAGTGTCTATGTAGAAGTGCCTCCTGTGTACTCAATTGCAATAACCAGATGTTATGGAAATAATAAAAATTTATTTCTGATTTCTGAAAGGCCTATTTTCAAGTTCAGGGTCTATATGAAGGCTATCTAACCTGAAATTTTTCTTTCGAGTGCACCTGGAGACTGGTGTTCATGTTATCGGTCAAAATTGAGCTTTCAGAACTCTATGGGATGCAACCAATACTTCTCAGAAGTTCCTTTCAGCACTGTCAATTGTACAAGACTCCCAAGCATTAAAAGGTGATTAGCCTCTACACATGTATTCATCCGGATCATGCCATCTCCTCGACATCTCCCTGCGTCCGCTCGCCTGCGTAGATAACAGAAGGTGCTTCTGTGCAGCCGAGGGATGGCGGGGAACGAATGTGAAACCTGGCTGTGTCATCAGGGAAAAGTAGAGTGTGCGTAAAAAAATTACATGTTCACGTGGTTGTTGTTTTGTTTTGTTTGGCTTTTTACTTCTTGAAAGGTGCTTCATTTTAGTTAGACAGTGGAAACTATTGCGTGCCCAATGAAAAGCTTAGTATCATCAGAATTTTTCAATTGGTTCATCACGAGCCACAAAAGCATAATGTTAGGGGTGAGCTTGAAACCTTTGCTACTCACCCTGTGTAGATTTTGCAAGCCATATTCTCTGCCCTCATCGGTATCAGAGCAACTCGGAGCCGGAAAATCACACGACACAGACACATCAACACGTCATGCGCATGCAATATTATATTCGCATGTTATGCCTAAGCGAGGTTGTGCACGCAAGCTTTTTGGCATTCTCTATATTGTACTGCCTGTTTCTGTGAGTTGGATTCTTCTGTGTGCACACGTTTGGAGAGGCTGGCATAGATCATATATCTTCACCACAATGCACAGCGTCGCAGTGCTGGGACGGTGCACCAAGCGTGTTCAGGGCTTGCACTGGCACGATGCGAGTACGATGAGAACATAAATGCAAATGACATGGAAGCAACTTAGTGTTGCATCTCGTTTATAAGAAGTATACAAAAAAATAACACGCACAGATTGTGTTTGTACGTTCTAATATTTATATCAACCTTCATGTTTCTAGGTATTCAAAAACAGGTCACTACTTACACATGCCGCCTTGAATTATGCTCGCAGTGTTACGCACTACTTTGAGTATGCGGGACCATTCCTTGTTGTGTGTCACTTCGACCAATCAAGGGCGTGCGCCCTTGAGATGAAGGGCAAGCAGCGTTCAGTCTGGCTTTTCACCTCTTTCCAAGGCACGTAGAGTTTTAAGTCTTGGCATACAAGGTCATCAGCAGCCTGCCCAAATGCTCAAACTTGGTAACGGGCACATAGACAGAGGAGAAATGGACTCTGTGCGACTAGACTCGGTTTTCGCGAGGCTGAAAGGGCCTATTAGCGGTCTGGCTATTGGCTTTTGTACGGCTCTTCTTAAAAGAAAGAGACCCAGGAGTGTGTTTCTTTGACAGTGCACACTTATCTCACTATGTTTAACAGTAAAAGGAGAGACCATGTTATGCAAACCATGCAGGAAAAAAAACTGCATGGGGATGCGAACATTGACACCTTTGTATTATCATGCAATAAAACATTTCTTTTTGCTTTCCTATCATATACACAGATCACGCATGTATTTCTTCGAAAATTTGAGTTTTTGTTAAAATTTATTGTGCCTGTATTTAGGATTTTGGGCACCTAAAACTGTTTTTTGTCTGCCTGTTTCCGGCGCTTAAAACTCGACGTTTTAGTGTCTCTAAATCCGGCCTCTAGTCATTACACGCGCCTGTGTATGCAACTGCGTCGTGGAAAACGTGCACCATTTGAAACTCTCTTGAAACTGCATTAAAATTGAAAGACATGGTGATGAGCTTTGACTACAAAGATGACTGCACCTTAGCTTCAAGCTCTGAAGAAAACAATGTTTTGTGACAGCCCGGAACAGCTACAGCCGTTCGGAGGTTGGCTTCATTTACGGCCTCAAGTGTTCTCCGCCGCATGCGCGTAGCTGCTGACCTTTGTGCGCAATCTGAGAGCTACTTTTGTTATATGCGAGGCCCACATGCCACTCAGGCGTATTGTGCAAAGATTTTCACGACAATAAGGCCATTTGAAGCGCATCTCGTTCATGAACTACAAAGTTGTGCGAGACATTTTAGGACTGCGCGCTATTTTTTCCTGTTCGTTGGGGGCATAGCTCGGCTCTTTTTTCTGTGCGCCGTAGCTGAGCACATGCAAGGTACCCCTTGTATACACCATGACTCTGATTGACAATGAAGATAAAGATAATGGACAGCGACTAGCTTGTGCTGTCATTTGTATAAAATACGTGAGTTAACAAATTAACAGTGTTTTATCAGAACAACCTGCTTCTTGACTACCTCCCACGTGGGTGCGTGCCACAGATTCCAGGCTCTTCTTTCCTTCCTTGCTTTCTTGTGTAGTATGTGATGTCTCGATATTCTCTGCTATGCATTTTATATGACTGGAAACAACCTATAACCACCAGAGGAATATTTCATATACAACAAAGACAAAACGAAATTCACAGCTCAATGCAGTGTACCATTTATGACCAATAAATATTATATAATTGTACACTGCTTTGTCACTTACATGCATGAGTTGTCAATGTCATGGGTGATTTGCGGCAACACAAAGTGATCCCACCGCTTCGCCTCCTCGTCATCATTCACTTCATGGATATGCCGCGATTGCTTTTTCGACTGCTATTTACAAGGATACAAATAAATATGCTTGGATGGTTATTTTGGAATGCCAATCCATGCAGCAAGAGTTTGCTCAAGGACATAAGTGACGAGAGACGAACTAGTGAACTTAGTTGGACATCTGATGTATATAGGCGTAGTTCACATCACGGGCATCCATACATATTGGAGAACAGCATGCTCTCCTCGTTACAAAAAATAATACTGAACGAAAGGTTTATTCCATAGCGTGAGTGATGAAGTAGTACAGTGCTTCAGATGTGTTAATGGCAATATTTTGTTGAGCATTTATTATTTGAGGGGTGAAGCTTCTTAAAGCGGCACTCGTTCGTCCTTCGTAGTAGTGTGTAACATGTCTTACGTTTTGACCTGCAAGGTGGTGCCGTTGGGAGATTCCTCCTGTGCGTTGTTGAACAATAAAAAGTTTGCAGCGTGCACTTTAACTAAAGCCGAATTCTCCTGCCTCTCATTCCCCATTAGCAGTCATTGGCATGTACATTGAGCACTATCTGACAAGAAAGGTTTGCTACGTAATATTCGCTGGGCGCAACCTCCTTGCTTTCAAAAAGGTTTAGCGAGCGTTGGGCCGCAGTGCCATGAATACAGTGAATTAGTATATACCATGAGCTCGAGGTGGTTAAATGTGGGAAGTAGACACGAAGCGCAAGCCGTCAGAAAGTGTGCGTGTGCCACCTCTCGTTAGTCCTTGGAATGTCTGCTGGATAGCGGTGCTTCTATATGCCAAATATACGATGTAAAGATGCGAGATGGTGGTACTTGGAGTGTTGACTAGATGGACGAACAGACACATAGACAGATGCATGAACGAATTTACGGATGGCTGCACGGACGGATGGACGCATGGACGGATGCAGGGGCAGATGAATGGACGAATGCAGGGATGGGCGCACGGATAGACATGCGGACACACGAACAGACACATGCACGGACGGGCAGATGGACGCACGGACGGTCACAGAGACGGACGCATGGACGGACGGAAGCAAGAACGAATGGTCGGGCAGATGCTTCGCCCCACTCTCCATCATTCATTCCGTAGATATGCTGCCATTTTTTTATACCATTGCGTGGTTATTTATCTCCAAAATGTATATTCTGAAGTCTCGTTATTTGAATGTGTTTGCATATAGTATAGTGTTCTTTTATTGATCTATTTATTATCTAGCCACAGAAAATTTTACACTTTCAAGTTTTAAACATTGTACATTATTTTTTTGCATGTGTAAAACCCTTATTTCTTTCAAAAAGCATCTTATTAAGCACAATTTTACATGCTGAAATGTGTGCTGGAGGACTCTTCAGACTGCCAAATCTTTCTTTCTGAGGCTTATGAAAATAAAACTTTTCTTATCGTAACGTAAGAGTTAAATGTTAAATGTAGCTGCGCTGTTTTATTTACCTCAGAAGTGTGTTTTAGACCCGTTTTGCCAGCAACCCCAAAACTGGCACCCTGTCAAAGTGAATAAACAGAAGTCGGATCACCGTATTCTGAACACTTTTCAAGATAATAACATGAATAAAGTGTTACCAAACAGCATACTCGATAAAATTCAGGGTCTGGCTCACAATAGTCTTTTGCTTGGATGAAAAATGATGAAGGGGTGAATGTAGCTATTATTTTGTTATATCATTTTATCACTGTAAACTGCTAATGGGAAGTGAAAGGGGATTGTGCAGTTTGTTGTGTTCCTTTGCTATGTTCTCATAAAACTTGCTGGGGTTATCTTTGCAGGTTATGTCCTTGGGGCCCCTGGGGGAGCAGCAGGCATCGGTATTTCATCTTATGCCTCTAAGTTGATCAGCCCTCACGAAGCCAGTGAGTGTTGCATTGTCACCCTCTTAAGCACACTTCATCCGACATCCGACAGCAGTTTGTGGTCTAAATGGAAGCTGAAGCTATGACATCAGCTCTATAGTATTTTTTTTTCTTTCATCATCCTTGGAGAAGCCTTGAGATGCCTGCCAATGAATGTTTGCACTTTGCTGTTATGGCTCTAGATTATGGCTATGCATGCTGTCGTGTAGGGACAAAATGACCAGCGGAAACATTGGGCCTTACAGTGTCTTGTGGTGCCACTTGCCTTTCCGAAGTGATTTTACTCCTGTGCCAACTGCGCTAAAGTGCACCAACTGAGATTTAATGGGCTATCCTGATAATATCAATGGAAATTGCGCCTAACTGTGCTGAATTCTCGAGCTAGGGGCGTCTGTTACCGACAATAGACAAAAGATGCTGCCTACTGCATAAGTGTTATTTTGATGTGCTTGGTTAAAACCTTCAAAGACTGTGAGCAATACTTGGAGCGGATCGTATCGAATGAACTTGAGGCTGCGGCGAAGGTAATATACTTGCTCAGCTCTTCTCGCACAATCGCTCGGATTGTTTCGTGCAGATCGTCATTACTGAGGGCATGAGCCTTGGAGTAGCGTACTGCTGAAGAGCAGCGGTTATACTGCCTTGTGTGCATTTCAAGTGCCTTCTCGATTGTGGTGGCCTCGGTGAGGAATTCTTCGACCCGCTTGAGCTGGTTGCGCACAAGCCCTGCAAACAACTTTTCTTTAACAGCTCACATAAGGAATTGGACCTTCTTGTCCTCGGTCATGGCAGAGTTGGCGTGGCGGAACAAATGGATCATCTCCTCGACGAATATTCAGACGTTCTCGTAATGAAGTTGCAGATGCGTCTCCAAGATAATCGCAACACGTTTCTTTCGGACGACACTAGTGAACGTGCGGAGGAACGTCGTTTGAAAGACATCCCAGCTTCGCAGCGTGGACTCCCGGTTCTAGAACCACGTCTTTGCGACGTCTTCTAGGTAGAAGTATAGACGGCATAGTTTTTCTTCGGTGTGCCAGCTGTTCAAGGAGGTGGCTCGGTCGTATGTCTCAACCAGGTTTCCGGGTCTTCATTAGATGCTCTATGGAAGCTTTGTGCTCTCTGTTTTGGTGCATCACGATAGCCGCAGGCAGTGACGCAGTGGCAGTCATCGTTGCAGCAGTGGTCGTCATGGTAGACGTGCGAGTCTTGTTGGGTAAAGGGCGGTACTCTAGTGGTAGACCTTGTTGCCTATGGCTGACTCGCTGGTTTTGGTTGGCGTCGGTGTCTTCTCTACGACGTGTACTTGGTTCACGGTTAAAGGGGGAGGTGCGGAACATGGAAAGGAAAGCATCTCCACCAGATGTTACGGGGCCGTTGCGTTGAGGAAGGGAGCAGACAGTAGGTTGAAGATTAAACTGTTTATTCGGCCGAACTTGTGGCCACGTAAAAGGAAAGTCAGATTACGGCAAGGCACTGGCACAGATAGCGACGAACTGAGCGTTGGCCGTAACTGACAAGCAGTGAAGCGTGTCGGTATTTAAATACTTGCAATCGAATATTCTAGCATTATCGCTTGCGGCGACGTAGGTTCCAGAATAATCTGTGTCATTCTTGAAGTGGGCGTAATCTTAACAAAACGATCTACGAAAGCCTCGAAGCTTCTCGCACATCGCACAAGCAGTTTGTGCTGAACGTAGCATAACGAGGGGATAACAAAGCTTGAGAAAGGGACGTGGCAATATCACCAACTCCTCCTAACGGCCACTGCATAATGGATGTGCTCCCGGCCCAAAATGTTGCTGTCTCGCATACCATTGTCACTATCATTGACAACTACGTTCAGCTTTCGCTCCTGAACTTTAGTTGTTTGACCCAAGTTCTTCCGCAAGCATTTCCTTGGGCCACGTATCCCCACTTAAAGCATACAACGTTATGGCATTAGACCCTGACAACTGCTCGTCCCCTATTGCAGCCAGCCGAGCCAATGCACCTTCCTACGAAATCACGAAAATGATTGTCGCTGATCTTCTGCCCTGTCAGGCTGCACAGCTCCACTACCTACTTATGACTTACTGCAATAGTTTCGACTTCGATGAGTGCCCTTTAGGTCTAATGTCATTCGTGCCTCGTCAAATACATACTGGTGACGCTAGTCCTGTCGAACGACGACCATATCATATTTCTCATTCGGACTGCCAGATCATATAATGAAAAGTCAATAATGTCACGGAATCGTGACGTGGCCAAAGACAGAAAACTTCGTGTTGGAATTTAACTGTTTATTTGGGCGAACCTGTGCCCGGTAAAGGGAAAGCCTAATTACAGCAGCAGTCTTGCACAGATAGCAGTCTCGGACTGATAGCGGCGAACGCAGCGTCGGCCTTCGATCAACAACTGACAAGCGGCGAAGCGCGTCGGCATTCATACCCTTGCCGTCGAATGTTCTAGCGTTATCGCTGGCGGTGGCGTAGGTTCCAGAACAATCTGTACCGTTCGCACAGTGGGCGTGATCTTATCGAAATGATCTACTACAGTCCGGAACCTTCTCGAAACCTGCAGGCGCGGTTTGCACCGAGAATCGTGTGGTGTTTCGGAACGATAACAAAAACTTGTGAAATGGAACGTGGCAATAAGATGCTCTCCAAAGACGTCATGGAGGCCTCCTAAAGTTCATGGGCGTCTTCTGTTGTTTTGGTCAAAAAGAAGGATGGTAGCTGGAGATTTTGCGTTGAATACTGTGCCTTGAACAAGATTACCCACAAAGATGTGTACCTGCTGCCACGATATGGTGACGCCCTTGACTGCGTTCATGGCACGCAATACTTCTCACCCACAGATCTTGGCTCGGGCTACTGGTACATTTTGCCGACAACTTAGACCAAGAAAAAAACTACCTTCGTCACACCAGATGACCTTTATTGGTTCAAGGTTATGCCTTTTGGGCTGTGCAACGCCCTAGCAACGTTCGAATGCATGATGGACTCACTCCATCGTGGTTATAACTGGTCTATGTGCCTTCGCTACCCCAATGATGTTATTGTCTTTTCCCAACATTTGAAGGCCACCTAACTCGTTTTTCGGCCATTCTAGCCGTTCTTCGTCGAGCAGGAGTCCAGCTGAACTCTAAAAAGTGCGATTTCAGCCGGCAATAAATCACAGTTCTTGGTTATCTTTAAGTGCTTGTGACAACCGGACCCTGACAAGAATGGTGCTGTCAAGCACTTGGCAGCACTAATCATCATGAAAGCACATGATGATGATGATGATAATTCTAGCTTTTCAAAGACTTCCTGCGACTCGTTCGACAGCTGTGATAGTGCTGATTTGTTAACTGAGTGTTCATTTTGTCATCGTCATTGGAATGAGCTGTGCTAAATACATTTAAATCATTGATACCAGCAAACATTTGTCTAGTTCAACTTATTTTGGTGCCAGGTCACTGTGGTGCATTTTTAAATTAGATGGCTGGCACAGCCGCCCAAACATTCCTTGATGGTCTGATTATGCCAGTCAAGCCTTTTCAGCCCATGCTGCAGCAGTGAGGTTCAGAAAACATTCCCTTCTTGAGGACTCATTAAACATTACTATACCAAGAGCGACATTGTCGCAGTTGCACTTTGCATAGATGGTCAGCGAGACAGGAACATCTAGGAACACGAAAAACTATTCATGATAATGAAACTCAACGAAAAAAGCCTAAGAACAAAAGATATGCTAATTGTCATATTTGCAAGATGTTTCAGCGCGCGAACAAAGGAAAAGACAGGGTTGACAGAAAGAGTGCTGCGGGAAGAAGTATTTTAGCCGAATGCAGTACGCCAATGAGCGTGCGCGGCAAGCAGCCACACTGATTAAACTGGTGAGAAGAGAAGGGCTCTTTCTGTCTACCCTGTCCTTTTTCCTTTGTTCGCGCGCTGAAACATCTTGCAAATATGACTACGCACCAACTTGCCCAAGCTTCCACTCTTGTGCTAAATTTGCTATAACAGTTTCCCCACACACTATATATATATATATATATATATATATATATATATATATATATATATATATATATATATATATATATACAAGACTAGAATCTAATATTTCCAGAGTTGAAGGTGCGTTGCCTTGACCTAGCTCCGCCGTCGAGTCGTAGAGCTCGTACCATCTTCGAAGCTCGTTGCGTCCATAGTCCCGGCCGTAAGCTGCACAGACGGGTCCTCTACCATGTCTGGTCACCGCAGCTTAGGGCCCCCCCACAGCGGTTGTACCGCTAGTCGTTCTTCTGGCTGTGCCCCGCAGCTCACAGGGCGTTGCTGCGAAGGCTGGGGCACGTCTTTCCTAGGAGCTGTGCTTGTGGGGTTTCGGCAAACATCGTGCCGCTTCGACCCCTCGTCCGCGCACGTCTGCGTTCCAAGCCTTGCGCCTCCGCCTGTTCGGGCCACGTTGTCGCTTGTGCCCCCTCTCCTTCGTCTTCCTCTTTTCTAATTTCCATAAATTAGGCTGGCGTTGTTCAAATCAACCAGGCGTCCCTTTGTTGTCCTCTTCTTCATATCTTGTCATATACTCATGACACATGTAAATACAAAGTCGGCATAACAAAATTATGATGCTGTATACCACCATCTAATTTGTACTTAAACAGGTCTGATTTGGTGCAATCTGTTTTGTGTTCTAGCTCTAACAAACCTGAAAATATCGACTATGTTCTACTACTATGTTGCCGTTTCAAAAATCAAAGGAAAAAATGTTTTGAACTTTTATACAAAAAACTAGGAATCCCATTATTATTTGATTTGGCTTGGTGTATTCGAATACTAATGAAGGGCTAGCAAATGGAATCAAATACTTCTAGCATATTTTTTGAATACTTTGAAGCAAAATTGCAGAAGCAGTAACCGCCATATCCACACAGTGAATGATCTGAGGACCTTGCCGGGAGGTGTACACGACATTTCTTGGTTAGACCATTTTTGTAGGAAGGCTTGTTAGCGAGCCGACGCATGATGTGTACGTTAAAGGCAACGTTGTGGGTCATGTTCCGTGGCTGCCACTGCACAGCGTTGGCCACATTGGCACATGAACCACTTGCCCCTTCATACCATACTGGCTGCTGCAGTGAGTTTCAAGATGCCTAACACTATAAATGGCATACGTAGAGCTTTCAGGGGTGCTTCAATGGGGTTGAGAGCAGGCAGGTGAATGGGCTTGGGAGGATATCGGTGCCCGTGCATACACTCATCGTAGGAACTTGTCACAAGCTGCCGTGTCTACGAAGCGACAAGAACAGAGTGGATGTATTTGCGAGGAGGCAAGTGAGAGGGCCATCGAAAATCATCCCTTGGGTGGTGGCACGCAACCAAGCAGGTGAGGGGGCTTGGGAGGATTTCGGTACCCATGTACAACACTCATCATGGTATCTTTCTCTTTCTGCAATTTTTTTTATTCTCTTCATCCTTTACAAGGAGCTTAGCCGTGTCTCCTATAAGGCAGACAGAAATTAGCTCCTTTTTCCTTCCTTCAGAACCACTTGCCATGCAAGCGAAGAACCGCTCCAGAATAATGTTAAGCTTGCTGTGATTTCTTATGTATACTGCGTATCC